TCTCAGTTTTAATTTCTAATACAGTAAATATTGATAGATATAACCCACATAAACCAAAGCTTTTTGGTGTCCTCACTCATTTTTAAGAATGTAAAGGGCTCCTGAAACCAAAATGTTTGAGAATCGCTGGTCCATCCTGCTGTGCTGGATCAGGTGTTGCAGTCTGATCACAGGATAATGCCCATCTTTAAACATTTTATTTGCTCATATCATGGTGCTTATTTTCCTCAGCCCCACTACAGCTTCAGTGTGGTAGCCACAGTGGGTATCTTAAACTACATAAGCAGTGCCTTCTGGTGTTGTCAGAATAGCCTTGTGTGATACTAGCAATATAAACTGGGACACAGTGGAGACCATTTTAGTGGGACATTGGATTGAAGGGCAGAATAATCCAGGATTTTCTTCTGGAAGGCAGAGATTGTGGAAAAAACAAGTGTAGCACCCTGAACTAGTGCAACTTTATACCCTAAAAATGTAACTCTGGTGGGGTAAAACCAAAGGAACGGTAACTTGATGGATTCCAGAAATATGAGGCCTGAAACAGAATGTTGTTTTTAACAGCTATTTTCCTAGATAATTTACAATCTTACAAAAACATAAGCTCTCCAACCAACCGTGAAACACAAATGCCAAAATTAATCACTTAATGCCCTTTGCTTTAGGATAAAGCATGCGGTTTAAAATTTTAAATGGCTAAAGACTGGAAGAAAAAGAAATCAGTCTCTTGCAACCCAGTAATATATGAAAAAGGAAGGTTAACATGTAAAGATTTGCAGAAGGGATGAGAATAATGCCTAGAAGTTTTAATATGTTTTTTAAAAAAAGCAAATTCATAAAACCCAGTAGAGCCTTGGAAAAAATGGGGTTCTACAAGGAAGGTGAAAACAGCTAGACTCAGTAACTAAATATGCACCGGTAGCTGGTTGTCTTTGCTTGTCTCTTTGGTACAAGCTACATAACCATCATTTCTTGCTTGTAGATGAACCTAAGAAACATACATTCTCCAAAAGATTTCCGTATCAAACCTGAGAATGATGTTACCTTATTTATTATGTTCATGCGACCAAAGCATCATATATGGATTTGCTTGATTATTTCCAACTCAAGCACTGCCCAGACTGATTTTCTTAGGTGCTTGGACCACACACTCCTTCATGTAATGTGCACACAACTTCGTTTATGGAAGCAGTTTTCCTTTGGCATAGATGTTGCATTTATTATTAGATGAAAGGGATTCAGATACTTTGAGGGAGTGTAAAGCTGAAGGGGTGGTTAACAAGTGACATGTTTAGCAGGCCCTGGGCCTGGGCATTTGGTAATCCTGCTTGACTGGATTTTTTTTTTTTCTGTGTGTTTTCCTGCTATGCAGTTATTACTGTATTTGGGTTTTTTTATGTTTGTAATCCACTGTACACTGCCTTGAGACATTTTTTTTAATTAGGTGGCTTTATGAATTGAATTATTTTATTATCATTGTTGGTCGCACAGTCAGACAGTTGTTTAGACAGGATTTGGCATTTTTATCCACCTATTGAGTCCTTCCCAAGGACCTGGGGTAGGCAGATGTTGTTGTGTGAGAGTGTAAAAAGTATTGTTGCAGGATGTGAGCTGCCTTTTGCAATTGACTGATGGTGATTTTTGTCAGTGCTGATGGTCTTCAAGTGGTAAGCTAAATGTTTTGGGATTGAACCCAAGGCACCTACAACTATTGGTACTATCTTTGCTTTCATTTGTCACAGTCGTTCTATTTGCAGGTCTTCGTATTTTGTGATTTTCTCCAGTTCTTTCTCTTCTCTTCTGCTATCTCCAGGTATTGCAATATCCACTATCCAGACTTTCTTCTCTTTCTTATCAACAGTTGTTAAGTCTGGGGTGTTGTGTGGCAGGTCCCTGTCTGTTTGAATTCTAAAGTCCCAGAGCACTTGAGCTTCTTCGTTTTCTATTCCTTTGTCTGTTTTGTGGTCCCACCAGTTCTTGCTTGCAGGCAAGTGGTATTTTTTACAGATATTCCAACGCACCACTGTTGCTACTCTGTCATGCCATTGTTTGTCGTCAGTCTGTGCAATCTTCTTGCAGCAAGCTGACTAGGTGGTCCACTGTTTCTTCAGCTTTGTTGTTGTTGTTATTGTTGTTGTTATTATTCCATAGAAGCTTTACCAATCCCTGATGTCAGTATATAGAGAAGCAACCTTTTCTTGTATAGTTTTAATTATTAAATTGAGACTTTATTATATGACTTTCTTAAATGGCCTGGAGCTGCTGAAGATAGTGTTTGAAAGGGAAACCTTATTTTGCCTTTGCAGGAAAACTTAGTATTTTTTTAAAAAAGGAAACAAGAAAATAGAATAAAGTTCTTAGTGGATAAATACGTCTTGTAAGCTGTTTGCCATTTCTAAAATATTGCTGTGCTGTGTTGAAACTTAAGGCCATTATGGCAAACCAGGATAACCGCAGTCAAAAAATCTCTTTCTGAAGATGGTTTTGGCTTGTACTTGTACCATAGCAGCACTCCATGTGATTGAAGACATCCAAAAGTATGTTGCTAATAACAAGACGTCTTCACATCTTATTGAATTGTGTATTTGTTTTCTACAGTACCAGTAAGCTGAATAATTGTGGACCCCACCAGCCAAGGAATTTCGGCTGGCGGGGTCTAGGAAAAGGGCCTTTTCTGCCATGGCCCCTGCCCTGTGGAACAACGTACCACCTGAGGTGTGGTGCACCCCCACTCTCATGGCCTTCAGGAAGTGTGTGAAATCTTGGCTGTGCCAGATGGCCTGGGGGCCTTATGGGGGCTCACCTTGTGGGATTTGGCTGGTATGGTAATTGATTCTTTCCCCCCCCCCCATCATCTTGAATTATATAGTCTTTTTATATAGTATTATTTTTTAGGTAATTTAATATGGATATTTATTTTTACTGTTTTTAGTGTTTGATTTTAATTGTGAGCCACCCAGAGTCACCCTCTGGGGGAGATGGACGGCATATAAATTTAATAAATAAATAAATAAAT